TTTTATTTATTGTAGAGACGAGGTCTCACCAAGTTGCCCAGGCTGGTCTCGAACCCATGGGCTCAGGCAGTCCTCTCACCTCGGCCTCCCAAAGTGCGGGGATGATAGGCGTGAGCCACAGCAGACCAGATTTTGGGAGGATGTTTAATGCCACGCTTAGACCTCATCCCAGAAGATCCAGGAGCGAATGGTCTTCCAGACAGTCCGTTTCGCAGCATATTAGAGATGGATTGACAGGGAGAAAGGGACAAGGGAAACCAAGAAGGAGGCTCTGAACACAGTCAAGAAAATGGAGGAGACATGCCAGGTTCTGGAAATGTTTATGACATAAATTGGGGACTGTTTGTGTGTTTAGGGGTGGGGGTGGGGCAGTTTTCCTGCGGATTTCCAGGGGGCACCCTGGCCCTGTTGCTACTCTATGCCCTTCTCCTTGTCTTGTGATTCTCAGGCAATGTGTGTATCAGCTAGCTTTTGCTGCGTAACAAGTCATCCCAAAACTTACTGGCATAAGACAACTGTTTATTTCTGTCTCCCAAGCTAGAGTACAGTGGCAAAATCACAGCTCAGCATAGCTTCAACCTCCTAGGCTCAAGAGATCCTCCCATTCTCAGCATCCCAAGTAGCTGGGAGCATAGACATGCACCACCACACCCAGCTTTTTTTTTTTTTTTTTTTTTTTAGTGTAAAGATGAGGGTTCACTCTCTCACCTAGGCTTATCCCAAACTCCTGGGCTCAAGTAATCCTTCTGCCTCAGCTCCCAAAATGCTGGGATTACAGGTGTGAGCCACTGTGCCCAGCCTGTTTCATGATTTTGTAGCTCAGCTGAGGGGATCTTTTGGCCTGTGCCAGCTTGGCTGATCCCTGCTACGCTTGCTTGTGTTGTGTCCTCAGCCAACAGACTGTCTGGAGGCACTCTGATAATCTGGGACTATCTCATTTGCCTGGCAGTTAGCAGACTCTCAGCTGGGTGCTGGGCATCTAGGCCATGGTCTCATGATCCAGCAGGCTAGGCCAGACTTCCCAGTCTCAGGGTTCCAGCAATAGTAGGAGAGGAGACTGCAGAGCCTCGTGGAACTCAGGCCAGGAACTGGCCCAGTGGCACAGCAGCTGTGTTCTATTGGCCAAAACGAGTCTCATGGCTAGTCCAAATCCAGGGTTGGGGAAGTAGAGGCCACCTTTTGATAGGAGTGGCTGCAAAGAACTATAGCCATCTCTGCTGTCCGTGATAACGGATGGTTGTGTTTACAATACATTTGTTTTTGTTTCCCAGGGACATGTGCAACTTTATGTGTTGGCAGTCACTGCAGGAGACAATAGTCACCAAACAAAAGACTCATTATTTTAGAAAGCATACCACAGAGAGGATGAAATTAAGCAACATTGCCTGCTTCCGAATTAAATAACTCATTAGCCAAGGGGCTGTTTATTCTTTGTCAGCTCTAAGACCAAACTCTTTTTAAGTTTAAGAGGATATGTTACTGCTTTACAACAAGTGCTGGCTCTATTTGATCTGTACAAGCATGTTTGAATCCTAGTCTCACATTTGTAGAGCAAGATGTGTGTGATTCAGATATGCCTGTACATATTGTAAGTGAATATCAAGTAACATAACTTAAAATAATTTTAAAGGGGAAAAGCATGTTCACATACTGCAAACTAGAACCCAGTGGGAAATCATAGGTCTGGCTATTAATAGCAGTTTGCTAACTCTAAAAGTTTAAATTCAGATCATTTAAAGGAAATATATTGGTATAAGCGAACACTGGTGCAAAGCACTTAGTAGCAATAAATTTAAATTTAAAATGTTGGGAAATGACCCCAGATTCTCCACTGAGAATGAAATTAAGCAACATCCAGGACTTTGCTGGTAGGGTATGAACTGGCCATTTGCTTCGCCACTAGAGAGGGCATTTTCATGTCCTTCCCCCCACTTTCAATATAACATAGGCATGTTGGGGACAAGATAATTTTTGGATCCATTTCTTGTGTTTAAGGGATATGCAAACCTGGTGTCCTTTCACAGCAAACTCTCCCCAGAAAGATTCAGTGTGGGTTCTTTTAAGTGTTCCTAGCCACTAAGAATAGCAGCAAATATCCCTCGAGCCCTGAACGGCCACACGTGCTGAGCGCTTGATCGAAATTGCCTCCTGTGATCCTTACGGCCATCCTGTGGGATGCTGGCTGATTTTTTCTCCCATCTGCCAGAGCAGAAGAAGCAAAGGGCTCAGGGGTTTGCATTCCTTACAACCCAGCAAATGGTAGAGCCGAAGGCTTGGATCCTAGTTGGCTTCCAAAAGTCTTCGCCCCCAGCCCTCTGCCTTATGGCCTTCGTCACAAGCACCAGAGTCATCGTGCCCTGACTGCCTGCTGAAAGGGATCAGGCCACGTCTGAGTGATACTTCTGATATTTTCCTCACGCCTGTTTATGTGCGCTCTCTCTTTAAGATGCACGTGGCCGTCGTGTTGTTTGTCCCTGGGAGCTCGCAGGCTTCGATTCTAAGTGCCTTGAGGTTTAAGAAGTGAATGCACAATAGGTTGCTGTTCTGAATGTCCACTGTGCCTTTTCAGAATGAGCTTCCTGAACCAGAGCAAGACAACGGCGGCACCACAGAGTCCGTCAAAGAGCAAGAGATGAAGTGGACGGACTTGGCCCTGCAGTACCTCCACGAGAACGTCCCCCCCGTTGGAAACTGACGCGCGGCTCCTTTCTCGTGGAGGGCCTTACAGGTCCACAGAGAACGTGATTTCTTTCGGCCTCCTCATTCCGATCTTGAGTAATAAATCAGTGCTCAGAAATGTACACCCCTCTAGTCTTTGGCAGCAAAGTGTCACATGAAAACCTTCACCAGAAGCCGGGCTCGGTGGCTCAGCCTGTAATCCCGCGCTCTAGGAGGCTGAGGTGAGTGGATTGCCTAAGCTCGCGGGTTCGAGACCCGCCTAGGCAACTTGGCGAGACCTCGTCTTTACAAAAAATAAAAAAAATCAGCCGGGCATGGTAGCACGCACCTGTAATTCCGGCTACTTGGAAGGCTGAGGCGGAAGGATTGCCGGAGCCCAGCAGGTCAAGGCTGCGGTGGCCGGGCGTGGCCACTGCACTCCAGTCTGGGTGACAGAGTGAGACTCCCGACTCAAAAAAAAAAAAGAAAGCCCTCACCAGGATGAGAAACAGATTTCTCAGGGATGCAGAGCGTTTGGTTCTTGAAACCTGAAGCTCTTCATTGAGTAGCTTGTGTTTGCACGCGATTGGATACACGTTTGCCTTTAACTCTGATTTTGCTTTACTGTCAAAGTTTAACACCTCCCAGCTCCTTGTGTGTGTCCTTGACACAGGTGATTCAAGGTTTGAGAGGGAAAGGCAAAGAAAGAAGAAGCCAGACACAAGGGGAAGTGTGAGCTTCTCATAGTCCCCGGAGTAAGGAGCATTCTGAGTGCACTCGGCCTTAGCTGTTGTGGATACATAGATCTCCCGTTCACTGATGACTGGCACTCCTAAGATTCCTCATGGTATTCTCAAACCTTGGGAGAATGTACAGATTAGAAAGTTACCCGGGCCAGGTGCGGTGACTCGCGCCTATAATCCCAGCACTTTGGGAGGCTGGAGTGAGAGGATTTCTTGAGCCCACAGGTTCGAGACCAGCCTGGGCAATTTGGTGAGATCTCGTCTCCACAATAAATCAAAAATTAGCCGGGCATGGTGGCCCACACCTGTAGTTCCCGCTACTTGGAAGGCTGAGGCAGAAAAATCGCCTGAGCCCAGCAGGTTGAGGCTGCGGTGGCCGTGAGTGGGCCCCTGCACTCCAGCCTGGGCAACAGTGAGAATCTGACTCAGAAAAAAAAGTTATCTGACAGGAACCTCTGTTTTCCTTGCAACTTCCTTGGTGCTGCCGGAAAAGATCTTTGGCCAGGTGGACCACTAGCTTTATCCAGTAAAGGCATTTATTATTTTCTTAAAGCCCTTTCAGATATTCCCCAGATCATCATGGAATCAGTGTCTAGTTACATATTTGTATGAGACCCCATATCTGTGAAACACATTGTGTATATTTATCTCCTGGAATCATGGGTCTCTGTTCAACAGGGTGTTTTATGTTCTGTACCCAGACTGTAAACACTGGGGGAAGCCCTGGCTTATATTTCTGTATTCCTCATTGAAAAACTGGCAGCACTGAATAATTGCAATCTCTTACCATCCTTTTTTCACTGGGTCTTTTTCTTTGCCTAGCTTTTAGGAGAAAGAGGCACATTGCAAAACCAGTGAGCATATTGTAGGGTTTTGATCAGAAACATGGTTGCAGCACGTAGCTGTGTGTGTGTGTGTGTAACTAACCCAAGCACACCAGGCTGATCTCTTCCTTTGCATCAGTGGTCTTACGTAGGAATCATTCATCTTCAGACTAAAGACCCCAAGGCACCAGTCCTTCCAATAACTAGAGAAAGACAACCTTGTAGAAAAAACAATTACGCTGTTGAGGAAAAAAAATTATACCAAGAACAAAAACGTTTTTAAAACGCCACAGTTTTTTTTGTTTTTGTTTTTGTTTTTTGAGTTGGAGTCTCACTCTGTCACCCAGGCTGGAGGGCAGCGGCATGCTTCTGGCCACCGCAGCCTCAACCTGCTGGGCTCCAGCGATCCTTCCGCCTCAGCCTTCCCAGTAGCCGTAACTACAGGCATGCGCTACCATGCCTGGCTAATTTTTGATTTTTATTGTAGAGGCGGAGTCTCGAACTCGCAGGCTCAGGCGATCCTCCCGCCTCCCGCCTCAGCCTCCTAAGGTGCTGGGATTATAGGCTGAGCCACCCAGCCCAGCCTCTTTCACATTCTTAAGTGAGGACCTGACAACTTCTTGGTAGTATGTAAAGCCTGAAACACTTAACATCTAGGAACCTGACTAACGTTTATATAGAGCCAGCCCAGCTTTGCCCTGGAATGTCAGTAGACCCGTGAAAGATGAACATTGTCTTGATTTCCTCTGAATCAGAATATGATATCTGCAAAACAGTAGTTGGCCTGTCTGTTTGGCCATGGTCCTCATCGGAGAACTGCCCCCACCCCCAGGAATGGCCTGGTTGGGCAAGTTTGTGACCTGTGTCAGTATGCCAGAACTGTGGCTCATTGTGTCAGGAATTAGGTGACCTAACCTGGGCTATCAGATTCTGTCAACTGGCTTTGGCGTCTTCATCAAGGACTGGCTTCAGGATGGCGGGCACAAGAGATGCCAAGCTGCCATTGTGGGGTAGTGTTCTTCAACCAGAGGTACCAGAATGCCAGGAAAGCGTCTACAGAGGGAGGCTGAGAGCCTGTGTGGCCCTGGGGTGCCACCAGCTTCCGGGTTTAAAGCGTGTACGCCACTCTCCTCTGTGGTGGGTGCTGTACTCTGTGCTGGGAGGAACAGAAGTGTGACTTCTGCCTTCACGGAGCCTTCGTTTAGTGGGGGAGACATAAACATTGACTCGGTAGCCATACAAATCTAGGATTTTAAATTGTGACATGGTAGGAAGGAAAAATAGGAATGTGCCTTGGGTTGAGAGCCAGAGGCAGGGTTTTCTCGCACGAGTGATTTATTGGGTTTGTGTTCTCAGGAGAACCCCGCAGGGAAGCAGGATGGGCAGGGAAAGAAGCTGAGCGGAGATATGGTTTCGGTGTGATCCCATGGGAGTTCTGGACCATGATGGCACCCGAGAGTTGTCCCACCTTGAGGCAAGGGGTTCGGCCTTTGCACTCAGTGTGAGCTGGTCAGTCATTGGCCCTGCCTCTCCCACGGTCCCCCAGTGAGCACGTAACCTCCCAGCATGGCCAGGGAATGTGGCTCTCCAGAGGACAGCACAGCTGTGAGCCTTTGGCAGCCAGGACACTGGCTGGAGTTTGGGCACACAGGCCAGGTGGAGGGGATGAGGACACCGATGATGACTCCTGTGGATATGAGAGTGTAACTGATTTATGCTTGACAAACCCAAAGGGAGACCTCGTGTAAGTAGTTCTGAAAAGACAATTTGAAATACTTTGTTTTTCTGTTTTTTCCGCTCTTCAAGGAGGCGGCCAGATCCTTTGGAGCAGACATGTTTGGGAAGCAGGGGAGTCTGGAAGAGGACAATCTGAAGCCAGCAGTCTCTAGGGGGTATGGGAGGCTGTGCCCCACTCACTGGTAGTACCTGGTGAGAGCGTGAATGCCGGAGGTTCATCGTCTGTAGGGCGCCCTGGGGAGGCCTGCACCTCAACACTGAAACTTACAGCCTGGGCAAAGGCCAAGTTTGGAGCCACCTCCCTCAAGCGCCCCTTAGACTTGATAGTGAAGATGCCAGCAATGCCCCAGATAGAGGTCTTCACCCAGGTTCCAGGTCATTCATGAGCATCTTTGATGCTTGCAAGATCCTAAGATGGGAAGGGACACCCCAGTGACCACAGGTTTAATTTCTGCTGAGTAGGGCTGGGCACGGTGGCTTAATCCTGAAATCCCAGCACTTTGGGAGGCCAAGGCGAGAGGATTGCCTGAGCCCAGAGGTTTGAGACCAGCCTGGGCAACTTGGCAAGACCTCGTCTCTACAATAAATCAAAAACAATAGCTGAGTGTGGTGGCGTGTGCCTGTAGTTCCAGCTACTTAGAAGGCTGAGGCAGAAGGATCGCCAGAGCCCAGCAGGTCGAGGCTGCGGTGGCCGTGAGCGTGCCACTGCACTCCAACCTGGGCAACAGAGTGAGACTCCGACTCAAAAAAATAATAATTCTGCTGTAATGAAGCAGTGGGGCCAAATGGATTTAATTTGCTTTGAAGAAAAGAAATGTAATCTCTGCACCCTCCTTGAGTTTGTGAGCCAGCACCTGAAGGGTGAATAGGAGTCGGAGGGGAAATAATTGGTATATGGGGACTGGTCCACAAGAGAGAAAATTACATAAACCCAGAGATGGGACCGGCGTGATCACCAAGGTGAGTGGGCAGGCAGGTGTCTTGTTAAAAAATTTTTTTCTGGCCTGGCACGGTGGCTTATGCCTATAAATCCTGGCAAATTGGTAGGCCGAGGTGAGAGGATTGCCTGAGCTCACGGGTTTGAGACCAGCCTGAGCAACTTGGCAAGACCTCATCTCTACAATACATCAAAAAATTAGGCCGGGCATGGTGGCTTAGCCTGTAATCCCAGCACTTTGGGAGGCTGAGGTGAGAGGATTGCCTGAGCCCAGGAGTTTGAGACCAGCCTGGGCAACTTGGTGAGATCTCACCTTTACAATTAAAAAAAAATTAGCTGAGCGTGGCACGTGCCTGTAGTTCCAGCTACTTGGAAGGCTAAGGTGGAAGGATCACCTGAGCCCAGTGAGTTGAGGCTGCAGTGGCCGTGAGCGTACGCCACTGCACTCCAGCCTGGGCGGCAGAGTGAGACTCCAACTCAAAAAAAAAAAATTTTTTTTTGTTTCTAAGTCATCGAAAGGTTTTAATGAGATAGGGGAGTGGCCTGGTTAGGTCTGATATTTTAGAAAATATATAAATCACTTTGGAGGATGGGTTTGAGCCACCAAGAAGTGGGAAGACAGATCTGAAGAGCTTTGCACGGGCTCTGGTGGGAGACAGTGGGCTGCACCAGCTAGATGGAGGAAGAGGTGGACAAGACTTGACATACCTCTTAAGAGGTAGAACGTCCAGGCTTGCATAGTGCACGGTGTGTTTTGTGAAGCCAGCTCCCTGGGTTGTGGTTGTGTGCCCAGCATAAGCACTGCCCTTGTGTCCCAGGGCTGAGGTCTCTAATCCAGACACAGGGCTAAGGACACAGCCTATCTTCTCTAGAAACAGAATCTGCGCCCACCCTTTGAAGCC